CTCGATGTGGGTGCATGGAAGGAGTGTGTTGTGATGATAATTGTAGACAGAGAGTGAGCCTTGCTCACCAGGATGGCAATGACAGGCTGCCTTTTTTGTTCCCAACGTGCACAGGCATGACAGGAGAAGTCCTCTGCTCTGACACCACCACACGCCAGAACCTGATCTTTGACATGGAGGGCAGAATACCTAAAAACAGCGAAGTGACAATGGCTGAACTAAAACTCTTCAAAAAGCCTCTGGACAAAGCAAACCTGCCTGCCAAGCCGTCTCACAGACCTGTCTCCAATGCCAGGGTCAGTGTGTACTGGGTGCAACGGCAGCAGGATGGTACCAACAGGACGTCTCTGATAGACTCCAGGTACGTCTCACCTCTCCTGAAGGCAACACTAGTTACAGGGTATGGATCCTCTGGGCTGGGTTCAGGTGTCATTTGTTTGTGCCTCCTGTCAATCTGATGGGGTTACATCTGTAGAACGAGGCTCTATAGCCCTTAAACCCAGAATGAGTTTGTAAGAGCAGATCTTAGGTTAAGACTGCAATATATGATGATTCATTGAAACAACCTATTTCTACATCAAATGATACTGTGTACTGCTAGGTCTTCCCCTCTGAAACCCTCCACCTGGTCCACTTCTCTCTCATTTTCTAACTCACATGTTACTGGCTGCTGGTATTCTTTCCATTGGCCTTTTTCATTAGCTGGTTAAAACAAGTAAATTATGCCAAAAGCATCTGATTCTTTAGCCTTGAGCTCTGTGGAAGTTTTAGAACCCTTGATGGCAGAATTACACATCAAACCAATTTTCCGGGTGGGTAGAAACTTATGGACCTGGTGCAGCTGGGAGTAGTGGTGTTTACCAGGCTGTTGTCAATAATACCGAGGCCGCATGTGAACCTGCACTGCCATATTTCTGTGTGAGCATAAATTAATGCCTTGACATGAGGAGGCACAAAGGGTTTTATATAGGCCTTCAGAGCCTGTTAATCTGCATGCTTCTTTTTGGGGCGTGAGTTAATGGCTGTGGGTGTTCAACCAGAGCTCTCAGCAAAAATTGTCATGTCATCAATGCCCTTGTCATGCAGGCTGGTTGCTATACGAGAGTCAGGCTGGAAGAACTTCGACGTGACGCAGGCCGTGCATTACTGGCTGCGAAACAAGAGACAGGAGCCAATGTTCCTGGAGGTCTGGATTGAAGGAGAAAGAGTGGGCAGACACGCCTCGGAAATGGCCAAAGCCGTGCGTTTCACCTCTCAGGACCCCAAGGATAAAGCCCTAGGCAAACCTGAACTTGTGCTTTACACCCTCAACTTGGAAGACTATGGGTAAGTATGAAGCCTGCATCTGTACTGCCTCTGGTGTAACTTTGCCCCTGAATGACTGTGGTGTGTGTGCCAACCCGGGGCGTGCAGCTCCTGCCCTGGCAACTAAACCACTGGGAATGGAGGAGTGAGGAAGCAGCTGCTTCATCACACTCCTCTCCTCCTCCCATCTTTGTTGTCTGAGTATTCTAACGAAACCTAAGCGAGGCCCAAGTTTAGTGTCTCAGGACACACCTGTGTTATTAACAGGGGGGATTATTTCTCCCACCTTCCCGGTTTCCAGTTCCAGCAGCAGTTGTCGTTTCTCCCTTGGCGCGCAGGGGCCCCGGGGACTGTAAGGAGGAGGCGGTGTCGGGGAAGTCCACCTGCTGCCGGCAGAAACACTACATCAGCTTCCGTGAGCTCGCCTGGGCTCGCTACTGGATCATCGAGCCAGCGGGCTACCAGGCTTACCGCTGCTCGGGGGGCTGCCTGCAGCCCCCCGGCCTGCTGCGGCGCTTGGGCTACGGGGAGCGCGTCTGCGCCGTGGCGGAGAGCTCCCCGCTCCCCATGATCTACCTCGTCAGGAGGGGCAACCGCACCGAGATCGAAGCCGCGGAGTTCCCCAACATGGTCGTCGAGAAGTGCAGCTGCGTCACAGGTGGCATGGCACTGGTGTGAGAGGCGGGCAGCCAGCCGGGATGTCACCCAGCCCCCCGATTCCCTGGAGCCCTGCCCAGAGACACCCTGGTCCCCAGACCTAGGTCAGAAACAAAGGTCCTGGGGGGAACCCCAGATACCCGGCTGCGAAGATCAGCAGCAGCTGGAGCTGTGGCTCTCCTGCTACCCTAAAGAGAAGGTGCACTTGAAGGCACTGTCTGTACAGATGGGCTCAGAGGAGCGTCTGTCTTCACCTACACCTATGTGAGGGGTGCTTACGGAGCCTAACGCCTCTCAGGGCCCCCTTGATGCTAGTCAAATTTCATTGAATTTGATGGAGCTATGTCTAATTTATTTCAGTCCCCACCTGGAGTGTTGCAAACAGCTACAGGCAAAAGTGGAGCAACCATCACCAGGTGAAGAAGCCATAAGTAGGTTCAGCTTTTCATTCTTAGACTCCTGGTTTTGGTCCTTGGTTGTCCAAGTCATCTTTATGGTGAATTGTAGGGCAGAAGCACTTACATGTATATATTGTATACACACACACACATATATATAGTATATGAATATATGTATGTATTGTCTACATACATATTGGATATATACATATAGTCTACATACATACGTGTATATACATAGAATATTGTCTAGAGCTCAAAGAAACATATATATGTGCGTATGTATCATATGTACACGTACACAAATTATCTGGAATTCAAAGGATTATATTTTTGGCCTCTGCACCATGGGCTCAGCACAGCTTTAGGCAAAATTTAGGGTCCCAAGGTCAATGGGAATGTTAGGACTTAGGTTTGCTCGCACAAATAACAGTTTGTAGAATCAGACTCTATTTTTTCTGGTTGTATATTACATTTATTTCAGTTTAAGGATATTTTCAAAGTTTTGTGTGCTTTCAAACTCAAGGAAAAATAAAATACAATTATTAAAGTAGCTTTGTGTTTGCTTATATTTATTCTTAGGTCTGAAAGTGGGGGGGAAAAATCAATCATGTTTCTGAAAGTACCTCAGTGCCCAGCTGCTATAAATATACACACAGTAACAGCTCTCCTTAGTTACCTGTGTGATCCTGGTGCTTCTAGTAAAGCTTATCTACTTGGCCAGGGACTGGGACTGGGCTGAATGAGCAAATGGAACAGAGCCCACACCTTCAGCACTTCTCCCTGAGCTACTGCAAAGTTTGAGCCAACACTTAAAGAGAAAACAAAGAGATATATCTGACAGGCAAAAGGTGATGCTCCCTGTGTGAGCTGCAGCAGTGCAGTGCCAGAACCTGCAGGCATCAACTGGAGCTGTAGAGCAGAAGGAGATGAGCTGCCTCTACCCACTCCCTTCTCAGGTGGAGTGTTTTAACCCTAACCCTTGCAGTGATAATGTGGTTTAATCCCTTTTTGAACTGTGCTGAACTATTGGCCAGGGTGTCACCAATGATAATGATTTCCACACTTTGTGTCAGACTCCTGGGTTCATAATCTACTGAGATACCCATGGCTCTAGGGATGAAGTGGTCACTACTGTCCATCTCTGTGAGACATCGTCCTTGAGGCCCTAGCTGAACCCACTGGTGGCAGGAGGACTTCAAAATGAGTTTGTCTGGTTAAACAGGGTGACCACGGACCAGATAAAAAGAAGGACCCGTTGGACTCTGGCACCTTTGGATCATTCATCAGGAAGGCGAAGATGTCAAGAGTCCCTGCTGCCCTGCAGGACCCCTGAGGTTACCCAGGCATCATTGCCTTCTCTGCCCATGGGTAGACAGGCACCTTTCACTTCTGTAAATATCTGTGGCAAAAGAAGAGCTTTACAGGGAGACAAAAAGGCAGAAACACAGACTCACTAGTCACCAGCACTGTGCTACAGCACCAAGGGTTACTGGAATCAGAACTGGATGGGCCAGATCAATCTCTGGCCATTTCCTTCTTATGACTATGAAGCATCTATCACAATGACATTGACATTCAGCCCCAGTTCCTCTCCACCCTGCTTGGGGCAGGGCATAGCCTGAAGGCCATGAGCTCAGCTATCACCATGAGGAACAAAGCCCGCGATTTATCCTAGGGGAGAAAGTGTTTGGACTAGTTCCTGACTGAGAATGAAGAGCATTAACTCTGATTTCCCTCCAGCCTCTGGCACTTGGACTCCTGACACCATCCTCCAGGCCTGGGAAAAGCCCCATGCAGTGCAAGGAGAGCCAGGCTGCTGCAGGAAGCGGGGAGCAGAGCATCACCGCAGGGACGCAGGGCTGGGACCAGCGACAGGGACAAGGGCTGACCCCTCTTCTGCTCCCCTCTGCCAGGATCCTGCACCGTGTCCAGCTCCCCTTCATCTGCATCGGGCTCTCTTTGCTCTGGTGTCCTGCAGACACAAGGTACATAAAAGCAAGCGGTGGGGCTGTGTGGATGTGTGTCAGAGCTGGAGGGGATGGGGAGGGGGAGGTGGTGGCCAAGGAGACCCGGAGTTACTGTGGGGAGAACTGTGAGTGTTGCAGTGCAGGGACAGGGCACAAATCTGTGAGCCGTCAACCTCTGCCAGCCCTGCCGCCAGCAGGCATACTTATATTTTTCTAGTGGAGCCATGCAGAGGTCACAGCATCTCCCTCCTTGGTCCCACCACCCCTCTTGTGCTCCACAGCCCTCAAGCCCAATGTATAGTCCTGTCCAGGACTGTGAGGAAGTTATAAGCATAGATAGCCTGGGCAGCTACATGCCAGGCTGGGCATCACTAACACCCATGTCTGACATCTTGTGTCCCCATCTCTTCGTGCCCACAGCCTGTACCCCCACCCCCTCCCAGCAGCCACATGTGGGGCCTCCTGGAGACTCCCAGTATTGTCCAGACCCTCCCTACTCTCACTCTGTGCACAGCACCACTGTCATCTGCTAAAGTGGCTGAAAAATCAAGCCACTTAATTAAAAATTAACCAGCTGTACTCTTGTCTCAGTGTAATGGATGCTGTGGCTAGTTTTAAATTCACATTTAGATTGGAACTCCATGCTTTTGGAGGAGACAGGACATTCCCCCTCAAACTCCAGCTGGCCTTGCAGTGAAAATGCAGCAGGCCCAGAGGTCGGGCTGCTGTGGGGAAGGCTCCGGAGATTTCTGCAGTGCAAACTCCTGCAGCAGAGGTCTGGGGATGATACTGGCACACCTGGGGCTTTTTCAGACATCAACCTGTGCTGTGGGAAATTATCTCCTGGCCTGTCATCTTTAATCCAGGCTACATTTGCTGTGATACCTTCTGTGTTCTACGTCGCTGCCTTTATACGGGTACAACTCGTAACGCATACAAAGGTTGTCAAGCTGTCATGTTATCCTTTCCATCTGAGCAGCACCACAGTCTCTGGGGAGAGGAAGAACATCTCATGTACCTGGCAGCAGCACGGTTCAACATTAACATTATTCTGTGCTATGGAAAGGAAAAAAAAAAAAAAAAAGAGCTGTGCAATGGCGTAATGAACCCCATATAAGCAGAAATCATTTTGGAAAATATAAAGGTGTTTTAAGGCAAAACCAGTGTCAAAACATCAGCCATCCTCCTGCACTACCACAAGCACAGAACACTGGCGTGGTGCTTAAGGAGGAGGTGTGTGCTCTCCACATTAAGGGCTTCAACAGCCCTGTTACTCCTACACTTGAAAGTTAAGCTCTTGTGTAAGAGCTTGTGTAAGAGCTTGTGAGGCAGCACGCTTCAGTTAGAGCTCATCATGAGCCTGAGCTCTGACCTGCCTTCATGGCACTGCTTGCAAGATCATCTGTGAGGTCTTGCAGTATTTAACAGAGCTGGACAATATTTCCATCGTTGGTCTTGTGAAAGCTTTTCTTATGAGAAAGACTTCGGCAGGACAGCAGCACTTTCTCTCTCTGTTATCATTACATTTTAGGAGAGATAACAAAACTTTTAAGCTGTATTAAATGCCACTGCCAGCTGAGTTATGTTGCCCTGTCTGATCCTTCCATGTTTTCATTTGAACCAAAGCAGCTCTCCTATTTTCTTGCAAAATCTAGGAGAAGTTGCAGCTTTACCCCACTCGTGAGACCTTACTTCCTCTCCCTCTGTTTTTTTTTTTTTGCCTTTGCATTTCACAGACTCCTACCAAGAGTGTCTGACACTTTGCCTTTCAGGGCAGCCTTCTAATTGCTGGTGTAAGTGGAAAGTCAGATGCCCAATCCACATCCCGGCAAAGGTGATAATCTGGGGAGCTCCTTCAGCTTTGCCTGGGAACAGCTGGAGTCTGGGAAAGGGGAACCTGGGGCAAACAGAAGGAGGGAGGTGGAGAACCCACAAGGCTTTGATATTTTTAAAGGAGCCTCTTAACAGTCTCAACATCTCTGAGTTTTTTCTATTAATTTAACATGAAACTAGCTCCTGTGCAACGTGCTGGATTTGCAGCCAGGACCTGAACTCCTGGGTCCATTCCTGGAGCAGGTGCAGGGGAGCTGTCTGCACAACGTCAGCACATTTCAGAATAAAAAGCTAATCACAATTGCTGCCTTCTGGCCTGCACTCCAGGGGTACGAGGGCACTCAGAACTGTGTGGGCACTGGGGTTTTCTACAGCTAAACCAGCATGTACAGAATGGCCAAGAAACAGTTTTTAACCATG